GAGTGATAAAATGAACACAATAAAATGATGAAATAGAGAAAGAGAGTATAAAAAATGTAAGTACTAGTAACCAAAGGTTATCGAAGAGGTTCCCAATCTAGTATATAAGTATGATTTGTCCATAGTAATTTGTTTTAATGTAGAAGTTTATTAAGTCTCCCAATCAAACAAAACTACTTAGATCATATTTTGAGGGTTATAAGAACGTAATAACAGTTACGTAAAATAATAAAAAGGAAAAACAAAGTAAAGAACTAATCGATATGTATTCATCATAAATTATTGAAGTGGTCATAAGTGTAACACTCTAAAGCATTATAAAACCTTCATGATAAAGAATATGATATATACTTAAATACACACAATATCGTAATACATATATGTATATCTATATATACTATTATAATTATAGAAGAAGTTGATTTTATTAATTGAAACAAATACTAAAAATAGGCGTTATCAATAATGAAACATCTTAAATCAATCATATTTTTAAATAGTAGTAAACTCTTATTTATCTCTATAGTGTAAACTCTGATTTCTGAAACTCACGGTTATTAAAAATTAATAAAATTCAAAATTTATCATAGCGCTAAAAGTAGTTTAAAGAAAACCTTATTCCAATTACATTATTTTGAGTAATAAACTAACGAAAAGAAATACTCCAATTAAATTATCTTAATTGTAAAAAATAATAGCTTTAAATGAATCCCAAGGTTATTCCTCATCTCTCTCTCGAGTCAATCACGTCTCTAGAACATTGTAACATTATTTCTCATGTATAACACATTATACGATCATCGCGAATAATTTCATTCACAAACACACAAAACACAAACATGTATGGATAAACTAGGATTTACGAAGTACAACAAGTAGGACTTATCCTCCACTCTCATGCTCATCATCACATACTCAAGTACATTCAACACTCACTCATGCTTCACTCTCAACCACAAATCAAATTGACCCTTAAACATAACCACTAACCTCAATATCTGATTATCATCATGTTCCACAACTCCTCATGTTGGTTCACGTCTATTTTTCATCAAATTTAGTATTTGTCACAAAATGCACTGATGATAATCATTATCACTTATGATAATCGGTTATCTCAGTGAAATTTACCCAGAAAACATCACGTAGGAATGGACGTTTCTCCAGATAATCGATTATCATCCCAGATAATCGATTATTCCCGAAACCATACTCAAAACCAACACACAAATAATCAAATTATAATTAATGATAATTTATTATTGTCGAATCGAAACACTAGTGGACATAATTCAAGCATTCATACTTACATACTATATCAACCCTAGATCACGTGGAAACATAGTTAACACATCATACATGCATTCAAGCATCACATACTCCATGTAAACATTCTCAAATACATATAATACATCACTTGAATAATCCAAATCCAATCATTGACATGTTATACCCCAATAATAGGGTGCAAAAGATTCTTGATAAAAACACCAAATAGGATTTTCAATCAGCTCAAACTAACTAAGCATAATGCTTACAAATGAAGAACCAAGAAAATGAAAATTCTCAAAATAGAGTTACTTGATGCGGGCTGTTTTCTCCCAAACTAGATCTTTAATTAGACGATCTGAACGGTCAGAATGAAGAAAATATTTGGAACCCACTACCCAAAAATCAGCTCGATCCAACGGTGAAACGATATCACAACAGATGAAAAACGACCAGTGCAAATTTTATGAAATTCTCCAAAACAGAGTTGCTGATCATGACTGTTTTCTCCCAAACTATATCTCTGATTGACGATCCGAACAGTTAGAATGAAGAACCATACGTCTGGAACCCACTGACCAAAGCTCAGCTCGATCCAACGGTGAACGACTTCAAAAAACAAAAACATCAGTGCAGGTTTTATGTTATGCAGAAATGACTTCTTCTCTTCCTTTCTCTCTCACTTGGTTTTTCCCTCTCTTCAAATGACTCTAATGTGGCCTACTAATCATACCATCTTCACTAAAACAAAGTGAGACATAATGGTCCACATTATATCGCCTATTCTCCACATAGGAAGGGAGCCCAATAACCCAACACTTATAACATATATTTGCATGAAAACCCTTAAGCATCATAATTTTGTTCTCCTTAGCATTAAACCCTTTTTTGGGATAACCCAACAACATAATACATTCACAGGGAAAACTCATCACAAATATTACACCCTATGCTCATTCATACACAAACTCTTACCCAACAACAACCACAAATTATAATCATATACATCTTACCAATCAAGTAATCAAGAACACATTATAACATACAACCATAAACAAACAAGGTAAGTTTCCTCATATCTTGGTCAATCATAAGTCTTTATCTACAACCCTAAAACACCACCAATCTTCCTTTACACTAAGAGTTTCTCGTCGCTCTCTCTCTTCTTCTCCCAAAACGTCAATCTCCCCTCTTCCTCTGTTTTCTCTCTTTGATTTAGAGTTTTCTAGGGTTTCTAAACATCAAACCACCCTTAATTAATTTCTACCCAATTAAATAAAAGTAACAGATTTTTTGCTCCCACAAAAAATATTAAAAAAAAAAACATAACAATTATGTTCTAACAAAAATATACTCAAGAACACTAATTTCCAAACAACAAACCCAAAGAGTTTCAAACTATTTTATTTATAAAATCCTTATTTTCCCTAATGTTACACATGGAAATTTTCATCTCTTAGCCGTGTTCGTTTGAAGGTGATGCACTATTCACCATATTTAAGACGACGAATTTACATATTTATTATGTTTGTTTTCAGGTGTTTCGAAGCAATGAAAGTTGATGATTTGCGGGATATATCATTTTTTTTCATTCTTTGCTGGTTGATGAGATTGAGGTATTTTCCTAAAAAAGACACTTTTACCCTCTTCTAATCAAATTCAACAGCTTATCAAATGTATGAAAAATCATCAATAGCTTAGAGCATATGAAAAGAAAAACATGTTACAACGTGAATAATTATAATAATAATAATAATAATAATAAATAATATAATAATAATAGCAAATAATAATAATAATAACAAATAATAATAATACTAATAATAATAAATAAATAAATAATGATAATTATAATAAAAATAGTAACTAACAAGTAATAATAACAATAATACAGTTTTTTTCGTAATAAATTTTTTTTTCTTATAATAATTTTTACAATTAGTATATAATATTAAATAATTATCATTTTTTTATTACTTACTATTAAGGATATTTTGACTAATCCTCAATTTTTACTAATTAAATCATTTTTCTTATCTATTATATCGGTCAAATTTTACACTAATTTTCAGAAACTTTACTTTCGAAATTCCACTTTCATTCACCTTCAAATCTTCTTAAAACAAACAATAATCAACTCACTCTCAAATCTTCTTAAATCCATCCACTCAGTCTCTACCTAAATCCATCCTCTCTTAAGTGAACACAACCTTAGTTTTGCATTGTTTTAATTATTAATTATAGTAAAGTCATTGAGAGGTGATCCTCTCAAATTATTTTATTTTATACTGACTGTTGTATCAATTTGTTTTAAGTCTCCTACTGTGAATAACAATGTTTTTTAGTGGTAGAACATTAATACCAAGAAAAGTTAATTAAAGTTAAAATACTATTCATTCAAATTTATTGTGATGATAATAAAATTTTGATAAGTGAATAAAATATCTTAACAAATTTAGTTTACCTAAATTTGAGAAAACAAATATGGTAATTTTACATTACCTGTTATGTGCAAGTTATTAACTATATATATTATTTTATATATATCAACTTTAGACTATTAAGCGATGCATTCAAACCAAAAAATTATTAAAAAATTAACTTAACTTTTTTAACAAAAGTCATTTTAAATTGATCCCGAATATTAACATTGTTGTGCTGCTTATAATTGAATTTTTTGATTTAAAAATGAGCTGAGAAAATGTTTTGAACTATCTTACTAACTAAGAATTATATATATATATATATATATATATATATATTATATATATATATATATATATATATAAAGATTTTGGAGCGGAAGATGTTTCTGGATAATGATTCAATTTTAAAAAAGTGATAGATTTAGAATAAATGCGGAATATACATAATCGACGTTTAAATACTCAATAAAAATGATATGTTTAAAAAAATTTATGTTTTTTCCAAATGATAATTTTTATTTTAAAACATGACTTTAATTTACTTATTTATCATTAAAATCATGTTTAAAACATGATTCTAATATTTTTTCCACCACTTTTATATTTAAAGAAATAAAGTTGTTTTAAAAATATTTTTCATTAGAAATAAAAAAATGTGATAACTTCATAAATTTTTTTTTTAATTTATTGCATTTTGTATTTTTGTTTCTCTCGAACATAATCGTGATGTGAGGATTCTTTGCCGATGCATAATGCACATGTCAGTGTAGATGACAAAACTACACCACAATCAGTACACAGCTAAGCACTGTTCGGTTTTCAGCTAACGTTTTTACCGTCTTGTCTTACACATCACCATCATATTTATTGCTGTTTATGTCGGTGCCTTGTTGCTACCATTATTTTCTCCTTTTGGTTCTGTTATCCATTTGCATCAATTGCATGCCACTGCAATTTCTCTTTCTCATCATTTCAGAACTATGCTACAACAATCTATCATTCATTGAGCCTCCAAAGGATCAAAATGAACTTGTGACACATAATTGCAATATGAAATATTCCGAAAACAATACACACCAAACATATAACTTTTAAGGATTCAAATACAAGTAAACAAGAGGAGCCTTGTATAGTGTTCCAAGTTCCAACATAGAAATTTATTCACTGTGAAATCCTTCCTTAGGAAACAACCAATTCGATAATTTACATCATGGATCCTAATATGACCGACANTTACATCATGGATCTCTAATATGACCGCAACTCCCAGTTCCATGTTATTATCACGTGTGGCAAGCTGGTAACTATCTACAATCTTCCACATTTCATAGACGTGTTCAAAACAACAAATAATTCAATGTGCCAAACGCTTTCTGTTGAGCAAAAGAATGGACAAACTGAACTCTTCTTCAAATATTGAATAACCAAAAGCATGGAATAAAGAAGTGATAACCGTCTGAACATTTCAGAGAATTATCATGAACCAATTTGCACTGTACCAATGCACCAGGATGCTTCAGCTCTTTCTTCCAAAGAACAGAAGCTTACGAAATCCTTTTGCTGGTTTTGAAGAATCCTCATCAGTGTTCCATTTTTTTCTGGAGTGGACTGGTTCTGGCATCAGTTGGTTACTACTGGGTGGTGGAGGTGTAGAAATTTGTTTCTCGGTGACATTAGGCAAGGGAGCATTACTTTCATCTATTTCTTGATTAATCTTTGAGTTCACAGCAGAAACTGTAACGGGTTTGCTGGGTAATGCAGCTGCAGGATTTGTGATCGCATCAGTAATATGTTGAGGGTTGTTATCACTAAGAAGTTGAGATAACTTGTTCGACACTTCTTCAGTTCCTTGCAATGTGCGATCGTGATTTGGCAAAGCTGAGTTCACCTTAATCTGACCAACATTTCCAGGCACATGATCTTCTTCTGAAATCAAATGTGTTGTTTGTTTCTCTGATGATGTCTTGATTGGCTCTTCATTATCTTTCAAATCAAGATTGTTGTTGTTTGGTTCAACAGATTGTGCAGCACCAGAGTTCACTGGTAATTCAACTGAGACTTCCATTTCATTCTTAGCCTTGCCATTAGTGGAGGTCAGAACTTCCCAATTTGTGTTCTTAGTATCTTGTTTTTGACTTGAAGATTTGACTTCTTTTGAGCCCTGCTTCTTCTTTTCTGTGCTGGCAGTCTTCTGCAGAGGTACACCATTTGCCTTCAAGGGTGGTTTCTTGGTTGGTCCAGATTTTGCTTGACTTAGTGAAACCTTTGGCTGACTTACTCGAGCAGCTGCAAGGCGTTCAATGGTGGAATTCCTGAGGACTGGTTTGCTCAATTTCTTAGTCTCCTCATTGGATGGATGTATCTTAGGATTCCCTTTCTTTGCAGAAGTCAAGGAAGTCTTGGTTTCAGTTCCAGTCTTCTTAGAAGTACTTCTTTCAGTAATTCTTTTCTGCCTCTGAATCATCAGATCCTCCTTTCTCTTTCTATTTTCCTCCTCCTACAAATAAAAGAGGGCAATGGATGTGAAAAAATTAAAAATCAGTGAGAAAATGAGGCACTGCAACAACTTTTGATGATACTTCTATAGAAAATATTAAGAGAAGTACCCATCTCATATATAGTTGGCACAATAGGAAGTGTTGCTTTTTCTTTAGCCATATAATCAAGGAACATTCCATGCGTATTCGGTGCAACAGAAAGTGTAGTTTTCTTAGCAATGTAATCAAAGAATTGAACAAGAAATTTCTGATTTTGTGAAAATAAACAGAAATGAAATTTCGAAACTATTGAATACTCACTACACGGTTGAAATTTGTACAAATAACTAGCAGTTTGATTTATCAATGCATGGAACATACAGAAGTGGGGGCAAATTCCTCTAAAACAATCCAGACTCAACACATCCTATATTAACATTAAACTGGACTATCAAAATCTTGGTTTCATATAGGGATAGGTAATGTTCGATATATAATTAATCTTAAACTCAATTTTTATTTCAAGACCCTCTTAATTGAGAAAGATTTTTTTAACCCATTTTGTAAATCAAACTAACAGTTGATAAAAATCAACACTTTAAACAGGATCTGCACAAATATCTTAAAGTTTTAAGTCCCTCTATGCCAAACATTCAAGGACATTGGTAGAGACAAGACACTTCCTATATTTTACCTTCTCTGATTTGCTCTTCACAACTCTAGTTCTGGTTCCTGGGGATGATTTGCTTCTTGATGTGATATCAGATTTACTTTTACCAAGAGATGCATTGATAGCCTTAGACTTTGCTTCTTTACTTGAAACTTTTCCATTTTTCACTCCAGGAGTTTTTGTATTAGTACCCTCATTATTAGATGGATGATTTTGATCTGTTTCAACTTCAGAAAGCTTTCTATTAGCTGCATTTGAAGCAATGTTATTCTCATAATCCATTTCCATGCTCCAGGGAGACACACTTCGCTCTGCAACTGAATCACGATCAAGAACCATGAAGAGGTCTTCAGGCTCATGGGAATTTAAAGTTTCAGTCTTATTTTGTGAACCTTCTTGTGTGATGTTCATGAATTCAGTAGCCCCAACAATGTCTGAAACCAAACTTAGATCAGCTGCTGACTGAGAATTGAATTTATCTTCTGATGATCGAGCTTGAATCATAAAAGAATCATCAGTCATAATGTCTTTCTTGTTTTTCTCTAAAAGAAGTGAATCAGTAGTTGGTGATGTAGCAACGCCATTAAAAATGCTGAAATCTCGGTTCTGATTCTCATTTCTTGGTTTACCAGACTTATTGATAATAAACCAATCCTCTTCTTTCTGGCATTTAGTGAGAGAAGATTCTGGGCCATTACCAGACAGAGTGGACATGGAATAGCTACCCGATTCATCATTTCTCCGAGAAAATAGCATCTCTGCATCTGTGCTATTATTTTTCTTCATCAACGAAAGCGCATCCTTTCCTTCCTTAAAGTTATCAACACGGTTTTGACTATAACTGTTGAATTCCCTCTCTGTCACAACAAAGGAATCATTAGAAATCACTCGAGTAACGTCAGGTTTATGATTAAATTCATTTGACCTTTCATTCTCAAAATTCTGATTGACAGTATATTCCTCCTGAAACTTCATAGGTTGTTCTTCTTCTGCATCAAGAGCTGAATCATCATCTCTTAGAAGAAGATTCTGGAAAGCGTCCCAGTTGTTGTTGCTCTTCATTGCATTAGAATCAGTATCTGTTGAACCATTTAGCATGCCAGGATGTTTTGAACTATGGTGTTTCTTATGGTGACGTGAGCTTGACTTTACAGCTTCCTCTACCTGCTGTTTCAGGGAATCTCCATTGATAAATTCCTCCTCATTGGACAAACTCCCCTCTGTGACACCACCCTTCTCACCATCTCCATTAGAGGTTATATAGTTTATATTGCGTATGACTACTTTCCTTGAGGACTTCTTTCCATGCTTCTTTCTGTGCTGATGTTCTTTTGAAGATTGCTTTTTACCTTGGCTTGAATCACTCTCATAACTGGAGTCAGAGGAAGCTGTTGAGCTTTCTTCTTCAGACTGCTCCAGTACTTGAGAATGCTTCTTCTTCTTCTTTTTCTTATATGGTGATTTATGGTAATCCTTGTCTCGGTCATGAACAATATGAGAGTCTTCCACACTTGGAGGCCAATGCATATTACCTGGATAATATGATGGAGGAACCTGCATACCAGGATAGAGGAACCCTTGGTATGGGGGCATTTGTTGAAATGCATGACCCTGAAAGTTGTGCATGTACTGATGTACATGGTTTGGCCAGGACATTGGTATTTGACCTCTTCCATCTGTTGATGGATTTTGACTTGATGTTGGAAAGCTATAATCTGCAATTTTTCATAATCAACAAATAATTCGTTTCAGAACATTAGTTTCAGGTACATTTTGCGGAAACTCAAAGTAGATTTGCACCAGTCTAACCAAGAACTCAAGGGTGAGGCAATCACAATCCATCAACTAAAAGGAAATTACTGTATTAAACCTAAATTTTCTCAAAAAGAACTATACATACTTTTAGTTTAACAACGAAGAAAATAGACTAAAACTGGTGAGACTATCAGAATGACATTTTTATCAAAGATGAGTATGGCTAAAGGCATATTTGTTTTCTGGAACTGTAATACTCAGAAGAGGTAAAATTAACTGAACCAGTTAGCAGTATATGAGGATACCTTGGCCTTCGAAACTTGCATGACTTGGCGTTGACTCAGAAATTAGGGCATCAGTTATGCCATTTAATTTACTGCTTGTATCATCTTCACCAGCAAGTATGATCCCAGATGTCCTTAAGTATGGCAATTCACGCTGAGCAGATGCCTGCATGGCTGCTATCTCATCTATCCACAGCTTGTCTTCATTCTTTTGTTTGCACAGCTCTAAGAAATTTATGCATGCTTCCCTACATGCATCAAAATTATAATAAATAACAAAACATGGGAAGTTTCCAGGGACATAAAAAGAGAAGATCTTTGCAATAATGAAATACTGAATCTTCATTCCATAATCCTTTACTAAGGAATCATATGAATAGATATACCAGATACTGTTTGTGCTGGTCATCTCAGAAGGAACACTAAATAATATCTTACTGATAAAAGAGTAAAATGAAAAACAAGCAGTGAAGAGTTAATAAAGTGTGAAACCACTATGCCCAAGCATAAATACAAGTACAAATGGAACTTCTACTCGTGTAAGGTAAAGGTTTAATCTATTATTATTATTATTTTTTTTCCATTCAAAGTAAGCTGTTTCAATTGATCAATATCATTTTGTGCACTGAACATTTTGTGGTATGCTTGCTGACCTTAAACGTGAAGCTCCAAATGCATCAGCAAAACATATAAGATCATCCACAGATTCTGGGTAAAATCCTGCAACTAGAGCACGGGCATAGGCCATTGCTTGTTCTTTGCAAAGCATAGCTTTACGATTATCTAGAACACGTTGAAGGCGAATTCTGTTCATAGAAAATTGATGAAGAGAATGTTATAAGGAATATTAGATACATCCTGAAGAACAAAAAGATTTCAGACAAAGGAACATAAGGAAAACACCAAAAATTCAATACCTGGAGTTTTCTTCATATCCATCTTCATTGTTTCCAGGTTGCTCATCTTTCAGCTAAACACACCAGATGATAAGAGTTTAAATAGCTTACCGAAACTGAAGAAAACATTAGCAAGAGCCACATTTACATACCTTAGAGGAAGTTGTTGACTTTCTGACACGTCCATCTGCAGATAACATGTTTCTTGTTAACAACAGCTCAAAATAAAAAGTTGGAGTAACAATTTTCTTTTCTTTTTCTAATTTACCTTCATTATTACACCAATAGAAACAGTGCAGATTTCCAGTTAACCTTACCTGCTTTATACCTTTTCTCTTTCCCCAGTTCTTATATTAAGTGGTAGTGGAAGAAAAACTAATAGAAAAGGAAGAAAGAGATGGACAACTGGTTATGGCTTCAGAAAAGTGGCTAATGATACTGCCTAGAGGTTCATGTGCTAGTCTTTCTTACAGAGGATCGTACAAAAAATCAAATTTGGTACCCTTCCAATTAGATTAGCCAAAGATAAAGGCTTACATCATAATATGTGAGTTTAGCATCTAATACTATTCGGAACTTTCAAAGAAGAAAAAAAGTAATGACCTTTGTAATTGAATAGTTGCAGAATTATGGAAAGAAATAAGAATTTACCACAAGAAAGTTTAATTAAAAATGATGATAGGGGAAAATAATTGAGAAGGAGCTAGATGTTCTGCGATATCCAATTCCAATCAACACAGTAACTAAATAACGGGAAAAAGATTTTCTATTCATACCTTCTGCTTCCGCGACCAAATTGCTCCTCTCACTTGACTGAATCGACCCTTCTTCAATCTGCACAATCTCCTTCTCTATTGTCACAAACCTCTCTAGAACTTCTGGAGTGCTTATAAATCTAACAAACCTATTGAAAATGAACCAAAACAGACAAACAACATCGGTCTTATAAAATCATTCCACGTGATTGTAACCTACACACAAGTAATTAAAGGAGGCTAAACATTATAATCCAATTTATCTCGGTCTGATCTAAAATTCATAATTTTCTGCATTCAGAACATTCTAAACCAATTTATTAAACTCCCAAATGGTTGCAAACCAAAAGGAAGAGTAGAAGTGTAGAACTGAAGTAAGAGACTGAAGAACCTTTGGAGGGTGGCTTTGGTGAACCAGGGAGCATATCCACCAGGTGGACGCAGAGTGATGGAATAGCCACCTTTGGAAATCTGATCCTTGGCACTTTTCAGGTGAGAAAGAAAAGGTTCTAACAGCCCAGAAGCCAGTCTTTCAGTCACACCTCCACCAGCAACAAAAAGGTCACACCTTCAACATACAAAACAAGAAATACGCAAAGTTAAAACTATTTGGTGCTACAATATTTACGTGTCTGTGAACTGTGAATCATTAGAACCTGGTTCTGGTTGGAGTGAGCTGAAAGAGGGCATGATCAAGACGAGTGCTTGGGTCCATAGCAGGAGCAAGAAGATCCAACTGAGAGAGAGGTTGAAAGTTGAAAGCTTTGGATCCTTAACCTTACGAAGTCCCTCCTCTTACATGGAATGCAGAAGAGGGAGGTGATCACAGGGACATGGGGTGAGTGAGAAGAATGTGGGAATGGAAAAAGGGGGTTTTGTTGAGTTGGGAACGTGGGACCAACAGAACATGCCGATGCTATCGTGTAGACACTCATACACACACTCGAACGTTGTTCTTTCAGAAAGAGAATTGTGTGGAGAGTGATTTAACTCTTGGAACTTGCAAAGAGGATGATGAAAGCTGAAAGCAGATAGAGTAGAAGGTGGTTAAGAGGTCCATTTTCCTTCCTCTGTTAACGTTTCATTCAAGAGAGCAAGAGAGCGGAGAGAGAATTGTATGTGACCATGTCTTGTTTGGTTTAGATTGTTGTCGGTGTCATTCACAGGAGAAGAGTGAGTGAGTGAGCAGCAAAGAATAATTACAGTTGTTGTAATCACTTCACATCACGGTTCATCATACTTGTCAATGCCAAGTGCCAACCACAAAAATAATAATACAAATAAATAAAAGTATCCTTTTGGCATCAACCTCATCTGTCTACTTCACATTCTCATGATCCCAACAAACAGTAATAATTCGTACAAAACTTTTCTTCACTTGGATTATCTTCATCAATCTATCAACTCGTTTTTCTTATGCAATGTACAATGTAAATGTTGGCTTGAACAAATTAGTACAAAAAAGGTAAAATTATTATTGTATATTTTAGTTTCTTCAGATAAACTTTATATATAAATTATAATTCCCATTTTCAATAGCATGTAGCCGTAATATAATGAAGAATTTTTACATTCAAGCTAGTATTTTGATTGATTACTTACTTTTTCGTATCCATGACAGTTTGGAATGACGTAGCTGGATTAATTTTATGTTTTAATAATACAAAGTAAGATTTTCATAAGGGATACTTGCATTAATATGAAAGAGGTATATGATACTAAAAGAATAGTATATATATAATGTTATCTTATTATAT